TACTATTAGGGCTCACTATTCGAACCATTTGAAAAATAAGGTGCACCTTTCAAACGCTCGACATTTAAGCTATCAGATGGTTATGAAAACTCTTGAGAAAAGCGAAAAATGCCTTTTTCACAAAAGGCTGATAATGGGTGCGGATGGGGAAAAGTAGCCACAATTTTCTTGGTTTTTTACCACTTTTGATACAGTTCACTAAAATCTTAAATAATATGCTGTTGAATACATGCGCTATACTAACTGATTCGACTCCACCCCAAGCCTATCAAGCTGAGCCCCTCTGGACCCATATATCGATACGAGACTTCTCCAGGAAGCGTCCCTTCGATCCATAGAGGCGCGTAATTATTTGTGGTAAAGAGCAAGCGACGTACTAATCAAGCTGACATACAATTTCAGAAAGATTCAATTCAACCAGCATTCAACGACATTCGTCAACGAGGTGAAATTATCAAACAGTAGTCACACACACACACACACACACACACACACACACACACACACACACACACACACACACACACACACACACACACACACACACACACACACACACACACACACACACACACACACACACACACACACACACACACACACACACACACACACACACCACACACACACACACACACACACACACACACACACACACACACACACACCACACACACACACACACACCACACACACACACACACACACACACACACACACACACACACACACACACCACACCACACACACACACCACACACACACTCACCACACACACACACACCATACACACACACCATACACACACACCATACACACCCATACACGCTCACACATTTATGTATGACAGGCATAAGACAGTGAGTCGGAAGAAAGAATTGCCGTTATGTGCACAATACGTAAACCCAGATCACATAATTAATGAGCAAATAAAAGCAGATTAAGCAATGAGAAATTTTGAGAATTCTGAACGAAGACGGGGGCTAATGTCTAAGAGCCGACGGTCCAAAAGATCGTGTCCACACTAAATTGGTAATCCAGTCAATGTTATTGGTGCGAACTTGTGCTACAAATACGCCTTGAGATACCACTACACATTATCGAAGCTGAAAAAGCTCTAAATTTTTACTCAGAGACTTAGCGAGATTAGACCAATGCTTTGAAGTGCTACGGTGCTCACAAAAGCCCACTTATTGGCTAAAGTGCACTTGGATTCGCGCAAGAGTTTGAGAAAGTAGACTATCCAAGTATATACTGAAATAAGTAAATATTTTGAAAAAACGCTAAATGCTACGAAAGGTCTGTTCAAATACTTTTCTCTTCATTGTTGAAAGGCCGATGCTTCTCTCAACTAACTCGCGTCAGTATATTGGGACTCACTCATGTTTTCATTCCGACTTCAGTTTTCACATTGACTGTCGCAAATAGTGAGAGGGCACCAGTAACATGATTATTTTTTATGGCACAATAGTTAGTTGCGATTTATCTAGCGAGAAAGTATGAGAAAAAGGTTGCATTAATTCTACGGTGAAAGTCGACTAACAATGAATAGTTCTAGTGCACTTAATTTTGCAGAGATTGGTGAGTTTGTATGGTAAGCGCATATTAATCAAATAAAGGGCACGACTTCTTTATATAAGCGTTTCGATATCTCCAGCTGATTATCAGCTCATCCAGAAAAGGCGGAAAAACAATTTCAAAAAGTGTTCGACATTTAAATAACAGTACAGTTTTGAATGATAGATCGGTTCTTGTCCATTGTAAGGCGACAAAGGAATGTTCGACGCCAATCGCTGGACAAGAACTTTTCTTGGAAGTGTTAGTAATCATTCAAAAGCTTAAATATCTGGCCAGCATAGTAGATAGCCAGTTCTATCAAAGACCCTTTTAACGCTGTAAAATCCAAAATAAAAATATGTTTCACATTTGCTGCGCAATCAACTACTACTTTTCTGGAGGTACAGTGGGCACATGAACGTGTAAAGGAAAATTTTCAGTATCAGAGTCATTTGTTTGATCTGGAGTTTCTTTCGAAGAGAAGAAAAAATTCCTAATGTGATCACAAAAATCGTACTTCTCCAAAGCGCTAATTGATCGATCGTGGCCGGTCGCCGCATCGCATCTACAGCCACCAGACACCGCGACCGTAGATTAGCCTGTAATAAGCAAGCTGAATGTACGAAACCTGATCCAGTTTTCCCTGCTACATTGCAGAGAAGTGATATTTCCGATAAATAAGCGCAGCTTTGATTCCTTGAATCCTAGGCTATCGAATGGTTACTAATAGTCTAAAGAAGAGCTCTGTCTTGCGAGAAAATTAGGTATGTGAAACACAAAGTTTTTTCTGCAGCAACGTCAAAAAAAGGTTTTTTCAAAAACCGACCATTTAGCGCGTTAGCCAGAGAGTTGAGCTTTTGAATGACTACAAACATTTTTATGAAAAGTTCATGTCCAGCGAATAGGGTCGAATACTTATTTGTCGCCTTGCAATAGACAAATGCCGATAGATGTTTGCGGTAGTTGCGCAGCTATACTATTAACGTTACCAGATATGGAAATTTGGCTAGGGTGGGATTTGAGAGGGGTTATGAGGAAACATTCAGATTTTTCATTTTTGGTCACTCCCCGTGCATCTATCATCTGAGAAAGTCTTGAGATTTTCATTAAAGTGCCTTTTTAGAATTTTCAATCCAACTGCTGAAATTTTTTGAATTTATCTCGATCTGCCTCTCCTTGGAATCCTGGGAAAGGAGCTTCCCAGTGATGTCTGGCACGGATTTCTTCACCCCGGAGTTATGGGCACGGTTTACCCAAATCAGACTGAACCGATGTATTGTGTGTGTTTAACGCCTACTACACCATTTCGCTGCCTACTCTCATTTAATCAGTTCCATGCCAATATTCATACACATCGTCGAAAGACAGAAGGGTATGAGAAAGTAGTTCATATGAAGGATAAAGCGGCTGGAGTTGATCGATCCTAAGAGATGTGCCATGCGTTCCATTTCATTGAAATACATCTCGAAAATTTTTTGTCCATTCTTTCTGACTATTGATGTCGAGTGATGCGCAGAACTTTCGCGTCAGCCGGGACTAGAACCCGCACTTTACTCTTCCAGGGAGCGCATGCTCTATCCGTTACACTGCTGACGCCCATTTTGCACAACACTCTGCGCTACAGCGCATCTATCTGTCAGCAGCCAGCCGTCAGCGGCCTGGGTCAGGTAGCCGATCCCGACATTCAAGCCAGTCACACTAATAGATATTGGGTATTAAAGATCAAATGAAATTCTTTATTATTTAACCGCTTCTGGCGGTAATATGATGTTTCAGTAGTGTAATGGATAGAGCACGCGCTCCCGGAAAGAGTGGGATGCGCGTTCTAGTCCCGCCTCATGCGAAATTTTGCGCATCACTCTACATTAATGGGTATATTCGAAACATCATACCACCGCCTGAAGCGGTTGAATAACAAAGAATTTCATTTGATCTTTCCAACTAGTTCTTTACAACTATATACTATTCCGAGTTTGCGCATTGTTGAAAACTTCATACGAAAAAATATCTTAGATTCTGTGTTTGTAGCAAAATGTAGTGTAGTATAATACTAAATCCGGCCTGATAAATTCTGGATGTTGTGCTTTCGTTTTGCTAGAGCTTCAGTAAAACGCACTATTAATTTTTCCACTAGTTGCTTTATATTAGTTCGCTTATTCCTTACATAAGGTAAAATTTATGAAATTGCAAAGTAAAAAAAATAGTAGCGATTTGAGCTTGAAGAGAAAATGGCGACAAAAGCATTTGAGATAAAGAGGCTCTGTGCTCAAGTACCTATTTTTTAAACCCACCAAATTGATGAGTCCTTGCAAATGCATTGGTTGGAGATGAGATGCAAAAAAAAAGATGGACCGTAACTGCTTGGATTCCGTAACCGCGATTCAACCAAGTTCGTGGACGTTGTGACATTGATGAAATGGCATGACACTTGTGGAAGAATAAAAACAGGGTTTTGATAGATCAGTAAGCCGCCTTAAACCATCATATAGGCCAGACACGGATTCATTATCGTAGTGGAGTCGAATGCATCGAGTGGCAGTAAAGGGTTGATAAACGTCGAAGCTCCTCTACTATTTGACGTTTGCACTGAACTGGTTTCTACACTACCCTATATTGCACCATAAAAAGCATTGTTTTCTGTTGTTTAATCTTGATTTCAACCTAAACTCATTTCAACTTCATAGCGAAAATTTTCAGCCGGTCGGTGTGTTCTTCGAGAAAGGCTGTACGTATCATTTGGCGATTTGCATTCTGCTCACAGTTCTCGGCTATATTCCGGGAATCATCTACGCGTGTTATATTATTCTCGCTTACTGAACAGAACTGCCTACAATGAACACTTCTATGTGCTTCTGAACTAGATCGAAGCCTGTAACATTCCGTATCTATGAATTATGTCATCAGATGCCACAGTATCACTGTTTGGTTTCGATTTCACATCATAATCATTCGCTACATTCGATTTTTTTCACCGAAAATTTGCATTACAATGATTTTGAGCGTATCTCAATAAAGTTTTTGTGTTGGTTTTTTTTTTATATGAACAGAAAATCTTCAGCAAAACGCATGAATGCCATAACAAGTAGAAGAAAAAAGAGAATCTTAGAGCAAGCATGACAATTGAAGGTGAAAACAGTCGAATAATGAACAATGTCTGTATCATAAATGACAGTCGTGTGTTATCGACTGATGAAAGACCCAAACGACATTTCAAGTCGTCAGCTCTTGATATACTGTCTTCCTTCCCTATTATGCAGAATGGCTGGTGGGAGGTGTGGCTCTGACGAGGCGAGCAGAATTCTCGAAAAGTATGTAAGCCACTAACATATCAAAACCTCGAATACGCTAAGATCAGTAATACTTTAAAATTCTGGTGTTTTTTTTTTCGGAGTTTTATGATGTTTCATATACATCTAGGAGAACTGAGTGGTGAACGTAAATACGATCTCAGGTGGGAGTCGAGCCGCATTTCATCCATACCGGGGACGCATGCTACCACTACACCACAGAGGCATTTCTACGCCACCACTCGTCCTCGGTATAGATGAAGAGCGGGTTGGACTCCTGTCTGAGGTCGTATTTTTGCTCAGAGTTTATATGAAACGCTATGATCAGTCTTTGAGATACATCGAAGTTCTGAAACGAGGATTTCTAGGAAAGAGTCGAATAAAGAACATAGTGATGATGGCGTTATCATCTCTCCATTTCCAAAGGATTTTGAATTTTCATAAATCTGCAATATTAGCACGTAAGTGTTAATCGTCAGTTCATGATCAACACACTTTTTTCTACTGTTCATTTTGAATGTAACAAATTCATGGAATTGTGTCATAATTTCTCTGTTCGCAACAAATATTTTTGCTTGTGGAAACGCAAAGAAACATCGCTAAGAACCCTTTCGTTCAAATGACATAAACAACTCTGACTCAGTGGCATCGTTATTGAACGATCTGCTTAAAATAGCATGGATTAGCGCCATGAATGTAGTAATCTCACTAGAAGATAGCTCTCCACTTATGTCGGTCCTCCATCGCTCGTACTTTCAAAATTATATCACAACAATAAAATGAAGTGCTTTTATGTCTACTTGATCGGCATACCGAGCAATAAACAACCGAGTTTTATAGGCTGATTGTCAAACCACTCATTTATGCGCGATACAAGGCCAAAGCTACCTTACTTCTCATTAACAGCTAATCATATGTCTGATCTCGTTAAGCGACTGCTCAAAAAAGAGCTCCAGAAAACTCAACGATGCTGACTAAATAAGCTACACATCACTATTCCTCCGGTGTCGGGAAGTTGGTACAAAATTTGTCCGGGATCAGCTCGATCCCTACGGTCTACGAAAGCTAATTGTGATCTTTAATGAATATCCTTCAACGCTCAGCTAACCACAGCGTTCAAGTAAATATTTACTCGAACAATGTTCAACAACCAGTAAAGAAGAACAAAAGCCTTCAAGAAAGAGCAGAATTACATGAAAGCTTAGAAACAACTGGAGATGACGAATTTGAGGAAACTAATTCAGTGTAATGCTGGAATCGGCACAAGATGTAATATCGGACTGATTCAAAATTGCGCCATTCACGAATCAATTCTGTGAAGGCTTCGCGTTAAGTCAGCATTTGAAGTAGGTAGCTCGTCATAGTAAACGAAGGCATAGTAGAATAAACAGCAATTATAGGCCATCACTTACCTGATATTGTCAAGATGTTAGCTGTACTCACAAACAGGATTATTTGTTTGTGGTTTCGAAATGAAGCATATGTTCTCATGTACGTCTATAGACGCGTTCATGTTAACGTGCTGCTAACACATGCCAATGAAAGATCTGTAGGACGATTAACATACATGACCACATTCTGCACCTTCATCGGCGGAACTGATCCGGAAAAGCTTCTTGAGAACTTCACGTCTCGGTGCACCTACTAGAATAGAGTGAAATGAAGAATGTCATATTTCATTATGACAAATTATGGCAGCTGACAAATCGCGATTCTTGAGGTCAAACTTGTCTGTAGAGATCTCTCCAAAGTGTGTACATCAAAATACACATCCTTTTCCAAAGTTCTGCTGTTCTAAAATTCCACAAGGGATCTCTTTCGTAACTTTTTACTTTTCGAAAATAAAAGAGAATATCACACAAGTCAAGAAATAATGAGTATTATCTTCTTTTAGTCGTTCTGAGGTGTTATTGATATTATTTATTGAATTTTAGCGAAGCATACAACAGTTCAGTTAGTAATGCAGCTTGAATATACAATATTCGAGGTGGCTAACGTTTCGGCGGGTCGCCTTCTTCAGAGCCTGGGAAGATCACATTGATCCACATTCCACTAGACGAAATCCTCCATAACCCTAGTTTCTGGATCGCATAGTAAAGACTTCACTTCAAAACACTCACCGTTTTGATGTTTGGGTCTATCAATTATTAATTGAAGACCAGCCGCTTAAGGTCAGTGCATCAGTGGGCTGTGCCTAACTCGAGCCGGAAAAATCAGCCTGAGGTATGGTTCGAGGTCCACGCGTGATTACGAGGCACTCCTCTTTTCGGTTCATTTACGGGCCTTTGTTATGTATCCAAAAGGCTTCTAAGGTGTTATGCGCAGATGTTTTTGACTCCTGTGCGAGGATCGCGAATTTGACGCCGAACAATACTCCTGCATATTTTTGGTCCCTATGCTTGCCTAGTGGAGTTTTTAGAGCGAGTTGCGCAATCCAATTAGGTGCTCTTTTACACGGAGGAATAGTGGCCTACCCGTTTCGAAAATGTACTCATCGCCGCATGCCTCGGAAGAGATTAGGTAAATCATACCCGATCTCATGCAGTAGCTGTCTCTGCTGTTCGGGCAAATTTAGCAGTCATTGGTTTCGCAGAGGCGATCATACACTCGGTTGCGGACTAATTGACGCTTTGGGTCTTTACGGGTAAATCGACTATTAATACCGGATCATCCAAACCTGCTCTTTTTGGGCAGCGTTTAATAGTTGTGCTTATTTCTTTAGAGATAAAAGGTAGGAGGTAAGGAACCTTATTTTCGCCAGACTTGTCGCTTGGGGGTATAGAATATCCCCTAAATCTAACCTAGGAAGCTCCTACAGTATCGTAGCCAGTAGAGATGGCTATTTTTCGCTCCAAGCTTGGAGATTCCACCGTGTGTCCTTTTCCTGTGCACACATTTGCTGCTGTTCGGAACGTGTTCTTCAGAAGTGCGCGTTTTACGTGTGAAGGATGAGCTGATAGGTAGTGATCTAAGATGTTTTTGTTGCTTGGCTTTCGGTACGATTTTGCACTGTAGAAGTTTTTGGAGAGGTTGACCTGAACGTTTCAGAATGAAAGCCAATTTTTTTTTCGGTTTCTTAGGGGTAAACTTTATGTACTCTGACTGACTGTTCTGCAATTGGTCGACAATTTCATCAAATCTGCAATGAACTGGAATGGTTAGTAGTATACGCTCGACCATTTTTTATCACGCACAAAATTAACCGAGTCTTACTTCTCTGAAAGCCATACACAAAGGCGACCACCACACTGGATGACGGTGGCGAGATAGCGAAGTTAATGGTATTATGTGAAGAATCCAGAACACCTGGCCGTGAAGACGGATCAAATCTAGTACGCATGGAAACGTATAAGCAAACGTACGTATTTGATAGGTATAAAATCACTTTTCGTAATCTCCATGTATACCACCGATCGCCTCTTGTCATTGAGAACCATTTCATGCTCCAAATCTTTTGCTGCAACTCGGTTTAACACGGGTGACAGTACTGCTGTGTGATTAATAGGTGCTGATTTCTCGTCTTCGCTTTGATTATTCGAGCAAACAAAACAAGCGAATGTTTATTTGTCTTCATATTAGTACGCGGTGCGTCTGCTCCCATGATCCGCTGTCTGTCGCGACTCTGACAAAATGGTCCAGAACATCGGAGCATGGAAATGGACGCCTTATGCGGCCGACTCTGAAATTGAAATCAGTAGCATTTGATGAGCAAACAGTGACAAGAAGACACAAGCAAACAGCGACAAGAAGACACAAGCGCGCTTTGGTTTTATGAAAAAACGGCGAAATGAAGAGAGGCCACTTAGTGCGAGGGCATAGCAGTTAAGATTTTAAGGTATCTACAAGGTACTGTGCAAGGAGAGTTACAGATTTTCACACGTACGTGCGGCGGACTCTACGACTGTTGTCCAACTGTGATTTCTTCTTCTCCTTAAGATTTGAGCGAATGTATGCGACATGATCCCGGTGACCACCCCATCGGCGCCTTCCAGTTCTACAACGTCGGGCTGTAAAGAGAAGCTTTAGTTAACCGAGTTTTAAAGAAGATTAGACCGTATTTCTCGAAGAAATGTGTAAAATTTTCGAGGCACAGCGCAAACAGGTCGCCCTGGGTCGTTCCTCCAAGTAGCGTCCTCACAGCTCCTGATTCAATGGATGAGGTACGAGCTTTGTTTGAATGATTCAATTCGGGCGATCAATGAGAGCTCATCTTTTGAGTATACTTTATGTTCATCGTGTTGACCCTTGGGCCGTGTGGCGAGTCAGTGTAGTGTGTCGCCCCTTGGGCATGCGCGCCCTGAGATTTGATCCTGTTTCTTCAAATAATCCCTCAATCGCAAGTCAAATGGCGAACTACTATAGCTACTGCGTACTGTGTTATCATAGTGTGGAACTCAACATTCACCGCTTCGTGGGAGGAGGAGGAGGTTAAAATTCAATTGTGCATCAAGTTTTCCAATTTTGACCAGGAACGATAGCATTCAGGTTAGTGATAATCATGTGAACAATAGTGACTTTATCGTCAGTGCAATTCTTACCAGTAGCATTGTAAAGCGTAAAGCATTCTTTGCTAATTGAACCGTCACGGATGATTCATGTTCGAAATCAGTTGACATCGTGGAGGTGAGTAAAGTATCAACATATAATGATCTGTTAGGGGCCTACGAGCTACTAAGTAAGCGTTTTTGCCCTTCCTCACCCTTCAGCCTCCTGCCCCTCTCAAACATGTTTCGGATCAATTTGCCCCCATCCCAGTGATCGAATGAGTGCTTGGTAACACGAGTTCGATCAAGTATACGTTGAATGCCTTCACATCATCAAAATCGCGCTTGAAAGTCTGCCATCGCATTTGCGACAAGCCGAAGTTGATGTGCTTCGTTATGTGTACACAATCTTTTGGACAAGTATTTCCTCAATCGCCCGTCTTAACAAAGTGAGTAATAGCGATAACTTAGAAGAGGTTTTATGAATTATTCCGAATTTGACATGTAGTATAGTAGTTACTCATAGCTATCTTGGTTCAAACAGAAGCATGTTTTTTTTAGTTGAGTTTTTTCCATGTTTTAAGAAGAAGATTTCGAAGTTGTTTGTTTCAATTGTTTTGGTTGTACTATTAGTCAATCTTCTATTATCTTGAAGACAATAAAGTTATTTACACTCTTGGCTGTGTTGATTTCTCGTATAAACTTGCACTTTAGAATCATCCGGTGTTTTTGAAAAAATTAC